GACCTCCTGGTACACTTCTTTGTATTTCCTGTGTTAGTCCATTTCACATTGCTATAAAGGAATACTTGAGGCAATTAAATGAAAAGAGGTTTATTTGGCTTGTGGTTCTCCAGGTTGTACAAGAAGTATAGTGCTGGCATCTGCTTCTGATGAAGGAAGCTTCCACTCATGGTGAAAGGCGAAGGGGGAGCAGGTGCATCACATGGCAAGGGAGGGAGCAAGAGAGATGCCAGGCTCTTTCAAACAACTAGCTCTTGCTCGCGTGAACTAAGAGATCGAGAACTCACTCATTAATGTGGGGCGGGCACAAAACTATACATGAGGGATCCACCTCCATGACCCAAACACCTCCCACCACGCCCCACCTCCAACAGTGAGGATCACAATTCAATATGAGATTTGGAGAGGACATCCAAATCAAATCACTTCCTATGAATTTACTATTTCAAAATTTAAACTTTTTCGTTCTTTCTTTTTTTTTTTTTTTCGAGACAGACTCTCGCTCTGTCACCAGGCTGGAATGCAGTGGTGCGATCTCGGCTCACTGCAACCTCCACCTCCTGGTTCAAATGATTCTCCTTCCTCAGCCTCCTGAGTAGCTGGGACTACAGGTGCGTGCCACCACACCCAGCTAATTTTTGTATTTTTAGTAGAGACAGGGTTTCACTAAACCCTGTTGTGTTGGCCAGGATAGTCTTGATCTCTTAACCTCGTGATCCGCCTACCTCAGCCTCCCAAAGTGCTGAGATTACAGGCATCAGCCACTGCGCCCGGACCAAAATTTAAACATTTTAAAAGGGTTGCACCCATTATTTTTTTCTTTTCCAAGTCAAATATCACTCGACTTCAAGCATTGAGATGAGAATCTTGCAATAACAAGTAAGGGATAGCCCAAATTAGATAATCTTGCATTAATAAAACTAATCTTTCTAACTTTTCCAGGTAACCAGATATCTAGGAAGTCTGCATTTAACACAGTTCTTACCTTCAAAAGGCCACTTTTCTTCCCTGGAATGCTCCTCCTGGTCCCTGGCCTTTCCCACCACTCTCTGGTCCTTGCCTCCCTCCCCAAGACCCCTTCTGATCAATTCCTTCAGAGCTCGGACCAAATGTCACTTCCTTAAGAAGGCTTTCCCTGCCCCCGCCCCCTGACACCTGTCCAGGTCCTGCTCTTCTATATTTCCTGAGCAATGTCTACTTATCCTTTAATTTAGTATTTCAATTATAATTCAATAAAATATAAGTTCTATAAGGGCAGAACCATATCTTGTTTACCTAGGTCGAGCCTTTTCTCCATAGCCTGGTAGAAAGAAGGTGATAAGTAAGTATCCATTGAATGAAGAAACTATACTAAATCAAGCATATAAGGAAAGCCCCTTAAGGCTGGCTAACCAATAAGTTAAATAGTTTCACAAGTATTTTTCATGAATGTGATGAATCACACTAGTACTTCGATGGGTTGTATATATTATTTACTATTATTTATAAAGCATGAAGAATAAAAGTATAGAAGACTTGGACCCTGGCCTGGGGGACTTACTAGTCCAACAAGGAAAACAGAGTAACACGATGTAAGTGTGAAGGAAGAGGCTTGATGCCGGAGGGCTGTTTCCAAGAACAGTTGGACTTGCTCTCTCAGGCCCAGCATGGCGGTCCTTGCTCCCACCTCAGCCTTCTCTTCCTCCTCATCTTCTTTGCCCTCTATGTTGCAGCCAGCCACCCTGGTTTTCTTTCAATTCCACAAAAGCACCATGCTCATCCTACCTCAGGCATTTGCACAGACAGCTCCGCTACCCTCAACCTAGCTAACTCCCACTCATCCTTCAGGGGTTTGTTTCCTCAAAAGTCTTCCCAGTCCACCCCTCGTCTAGGTCAGGCCTACCTGTTATATATTCTCATGGCAACTGAGCTCCTGCTTCCTGCATGTATTACAATGATAAGTATTTGTGAAATTATTTGTTAATCACCATCTCCCACTAGACTTTAAGCTCCACATGTCTGTCTAGTTCCCCTGTCCCTGGAACATAGTAGGTCTTAAATACACTACTTGACATGCAAGTAAGTAATAGAACAACTAAACAAACAGTGGGAAGGGAGAACTGTATTGGGTCACTGACAATGACTAGGATTTGGGTAAACAAAAATTTGAGGCATCTAATAAGTGACAGCTCAGGTTCAAAGCTAGGTCTGTCTGGGTCCTAAAGGGAGTTCATAATACTCTCCAATAATAGATTGGATTATTCCTTTTTTTTTTTTTTTTTTGCTATGGTCTCACTAGGTTGCCCAGGATGGTCTCGAACTTCTGACCTTAAGAGATCTCCTCCCACTTCAGCCTCCCAAAGTGCTGGGTTTACAAGCTTCAGCCACTGTGCGCAGCCTAGACTGGATTATTCTTCCCAACTAGGCACCTCCTCCCTCTAGTAATATTATATTATATATCCTCACTCTTTGCAACATGACCTTTGCAAGACCTCCTACCAGGAGGACTACACCGACTAATGTCAATGACTTTGGGCTTGGTCTTGTGACTTGCTTTGGTAACAGAAGTTATTTGGTAACAGAAATGGAAGACATCACACTGTTGAGCTAAGACTTTAAGGCATAATAATCACCAACCCTTTTAAGCTTAAACCTTCTACCATAGGAAGAGTAGGACACAAATGACTGTTCCTCCTTTAGCCTAGATTTTGAAAATAACAAATACAATGGACTGGAACCTGACTCCAAGTTATGTGGCTTATTGAGTAAGTTCAGCCTAGTGACACAGCTGAACCACAGCCAACCTGCACACCATGAACATGAAATAAATGTTTGCAATTGTAAGCCACTGAGATTTTGGGATTGCGTGATATGCAATATTGTCCCAGCAGAAATCTAACTAATATGGCTCCTCAATGACAGGGTTGCAACTTATTTTTTTCAGCATCTAGCACATAGCTGGCTATATAGCGGGTGGTGAATCAATACTGTTAAACCCAATAAATGATGTTCCTCAGGGACTCTAGTGAAATGGACGAAAACATTAACAATGCTTCTAAAGCAAAGATTTTTAAATGGATGAATCTAATACGAAGTGACTAAAGAGAGAAACTTTGAGAAAGTGGGCTTTTTTTTCTTTTTGGTTAGGACTGAGAACCTCTTCTGGCACTTTAAGTATAAACAAATGCTTTGGAGACACCTAATCTAACTCCTGTCAGATAAATTGATTAAGTATTCAAGAGGCAGAATATCGTTTGCTGGTTGGCCTTAAAAAAAGAAAACTGTCAAGATTTTAAATGAAAGGAGCTGAAAGACTTTTCTCTTGTTATCTGGTATTTCTAATGATATAACTCAAAAACCAGAAGCAGCTAGAGCAAAAAGCTAAACTTTCAGCTCAATCTTTCTTCTGCATGAAGACCTGCATTCAATTTAATTTCATAAATCTGTACTAAGTAACTACCAAGTATTCTGGTGATAGAGGAAAAATAGTATCTTAGATCTGAGCCACTGCAAATCTCTTTGGAACCAGGCAGGATATAAAAATATATACACTCCTAAATTCCTCAACTTAAACTCATAATGCTTTGCAACTTACAAACCATTTCTTCATACATTCGTCATTTCGTTTTCACAAGAATATGTGAGAAAGATTAATTATTATTATTATATTATTCAGACAGGGTTTCGGTTTGTCACCTAGGCTTGAGTGCAATGGCTCACTGCAGCCTTGACCTCACAGGCTCAAGCAATCCTTTTGTTTCAGCCACCACCGTAGCTGGGACTACAGATGCACACCACCACCACACCTGACTAATTGTATTTTACAGAGATGGGGTCTCACTATGCTGCCCAGGCTGGTCTCAAACTCCTGGACTCAGGTAAGCCTCCTGCCTTAGCTTCCCAAAGTGCTGGTGAGAGGTGAAACCAGCTGGACTTCCTGAGTTGAATGGGGACTTGGAGAACTTTTCTGTCTAGCTAGAGGATTGTAAATGCACCAATCAGCGCTCTGTAAAAATGCACCAATCAGTGCTCTGTGTCTAGCTAAAGGATTGCAAATGCACCAATCAGCACTCTGTAAAAACGCACCAATCAGCACTCTGTGTCTAGCTAGAGGATTGTAAACACACCCATCAGCACTCTGTAAAAACACACCAATCAGCACTCTGTGTCTAAAGGATTGTAAACCCACCAATCAGCACTCTGTAAAAACACACCAGTCAGTGCTCTGTGTCTAGCTAAAGGTTTGTAAACACACCAATCAGCACTCTGTAAAATGGACCAATCAGTACTCTGTAAAATGGAACAATCAGCAGGACATGGGCAGGGACAAATAAGGGAATAAAAGCTGGCCACCCCAGCCAGCAGTGGCAACCTGCTCGGGTCCCCTTCCACGCTGTAGAAGCTTTGTTCTTTCACTCTTCACTATAAATCCTGCTGCTGCTCACTCTTTGGGTCTGCACCACCTTTAAGAGCTATAACACTTGCTGTGAAAGTCTGCGGCTTCATTCTTGAAGTCAGCAAGACTATGAACCCACCGGAAGGAAGAAACTCCAGACACATCTGAAGGAATAAACTCCAGACATACCATCTTCAAGAGCTGTAACACTCACCGCAAAGGTCCTCAGTTTCATTCTTGAAGTCAGCAAGACCAAGAACCCACCAGAAGGAACCCCACAAACTCACCGGAAGGAAGAAACTCAGGACACATCTGAAGGTACAAACTCCGGACACACCATCTTTAAGAGCTGTAACACTCACCGTGAAAGTCTGCAACTTCATTCTTGAAGTCAGCAAAACCAAGAACCCACCAGAAGGAACCAACTCCAGACACACTGGGATTGCAGGTTATGTTTTTTTATCCCTCTCTCAGATGAGGAAACAGAGGCTCAGCCACACGGTGAGTGGCTGGTAGAAAGTGACAGATGTCTGATTCTCTTTCTTCAATGCCACAAGGGCCTCATTTCCCAAGACTTAAACATTTATAGATGTAACAGAAAACCTCTGCAAAAGCATCAACATACCACACCGGGGAATATTTTCTGGAGCCGGTCTGCTGCAGCCAGAGCCTTGGGCTTACCACCCGCTAGGCAATCTTCAAACTCATAGAGAGGCTGCCTCACAGGATTGGAGTAGGAGATCTTGGCATTGTCCACAAATGTGATGTGTCTCACGCCCCAACCCTGTGTGGAAACAGGAGATCATGGTGTGTTTCTGATGACCATTTCACAGGGTGCTGTCTCTTGAAATCTCAAAAGGAATATTGGTTTGGAGAAGCTTGGGAACCTCAAAACACAAGAAACTTCAGAAACTGAATTGTGCAAATTCAGGTTACGATAAACAGAATGTTGACTTTCCTTAAAAAACAACATAATTATATACTCAGTGCCTGGCTTACTGGAGCAATGAGACTAAAAAATGTCAGAGTGGGACAGACTAATAATTCATTATTTTTGACAGTGTCACCAAAGATTTGGAGGTGAATCCCATAAGAATTGTCCATGCTGTCATTTTAAAAAGATTAGCAATAGCCCATAAATGTCCTTGATTTCCCTTAACGAATAATTAAATATAAATAACAACTACTCTTGAAGCTCATTTAAAGCCTGAATGAACTCCTCAAAACAATGACTCACAAATTATTTCCCACTGTATGATATTTTAGAACATTTTGTACCATTTCTTCAAAAGACAAAGCCTTATTAAAAATCTGGAATTTAGGGAACAAGTCTATATTCTTAGAAATAGTTTTCACGGTTTTATAGGCTTCAGTTATATCTCCTATAACAGTTTTATAAAACCATACAATTTTAAAGGTAGATGGGATCTCTAAAATCCTTAGTCCAATTACTTTTACAGATATGGAAACTGATGCCCAGGAAAGATAAGTGATTTGCCTAAGGGATACATCTGGTTAATGGTGGGAATGAATGAGCTCTCTAGAGTTGCAACCAAATGAAGTTGCCTACTTCTTGGGGTAGGGTACAGTGGGTATATTTTAGTAGATGATAAATAAGCATACGGACCTAAAAGATGTCCTGCCATGACTGGCTATAAGGCTAAGATTCTGCTGTCTCTCTTATTTCATTATCTTTCCATTAGAAACTGAGAGACTCAATTAGATTGAAGGTTTCAGAGGTCCAGCCCTCGAGGACCCAAGATTCGTTTTCAGCGTTGAGCACAACAGGCCAGAATCTGCCTTTCATAAGCATAGGTTAGACGGGCTGTTTTGAAGCCCACTGGTAACCTTTTGGTCTACCCACCCAGTTTTGTAAATTATTTTCATCATCTAAGCAACCTACCATGGAGGGAGAATAAAGTCACTTGTGCTTGCTTTGGGAATGTTTATTTCTGAAGTATTTTTGCATTCCTTAAAGCAACTGATGAGTGGATAGCAAGGAAGGCAGTCTGGGAACGTGCTGGGTAGTGGGAAGAAAGCCAGATACATTACAAACATGCCATAGGTTAGTCACATGCAGGTGTATTTGCACAAACTTAACTTTTGCTTTCCTGGAATGCTACACAGTTTAAATGGCTAATCTGCAAAGATTAAAGAAAATCACAATACTCAATGCTGGTGAGGATGTGGTAGGGAGAAAATCATCCTACTGATTGAGAATGTTAAAGTTGTCTAATCTTTCTGGAAAGCAATTTGGCAGTATGTTTCTAGAATCTTAATACCCATATCCTATGACCTATTTCCAGCAATTTATCCTAAGAAGTAATCTGACATACTGACCAAGATGCAGTCACAAAGATGTTCTTTGCAGCACAATTTACAATTGTAAAAAACTGGAAACAATGTTAATGCTAAACATTAGGAGAAGGGTTCAGTAAGTTATGTTTCATCATATAAGAAGGCATATTCTACAGTCATAAAGCTTTAGCAGACATTGCAGTGAACTCGTGCAGTCCCGACTACTTGGGAGGCCGAGGTGGGAAGATCACAAGGTCCAGTCCAGCCTGGGCAACAAAGCCAGATTCTGTCTCAAAAAATAAAAAGAAGGCCTCATAGACAGGCATAAAATGACATGTTAATTGGTAACAGCAAAGGACATTATTATATATCTAATAAAGGACATTATATATCTAATAAAATGTTAAAATACATATTAAACACTGAAAAGTAACAAGTGAAAAAGCAGTAGGAAAATGAGTGTCTTCTTTTCTGCTTTATGACTTTTATACTTTACAAATTTTCTATAATGGCTTTATGTTGACTGCGCAATTTTGAAAAATGTAAGGAAAATCTAAGCATCTAATAATTCTAGAACCTAGAAAAAGACAAATAAATTCCACAGAAGGAAGAAAAAATTAATAAAGATAAAAGTAGATATTTATGAATCTGAAAGCAAAATGAGACAGAAAATAAAAATTATAGAATAATAAAGTAATGCTCCAAAAAGACTGATAAAATAGACAGGCTTCTCTAGCAAGGCTGAATATGAGAAAAAAAGAGAAAACACAAATATACAACATTAGGAATATGAAAAGATTTTTTAAAAGATAAAAACAAGATTTAAAAAATAAGAGAATACCATATATATTTTATACAAATTAATTTTTAAAGCCAGAAAAGCAGTACAAAATCTAAAAAGGTTAGTCAACCCAGAAACATATGTAGAAGTTCACAGATTCCCAGCACCCCCACTGCCCCAACCAACAAAATTCTTAAATGCATCTGGCCCAGACGGATTTATAACTGAATTTTACTTAACCATCAAGAAACAGATAATTCATTTATTTAAACTGTTCTGGAGCTTAAAAAAGGCAGAACTTTTTAAGTTTATTTTATAAAGCTAGCATAATGTAGCTATAAAATATACAGATAGAACAAGGAATAATATGACGATAAACCAATTTGACTTATGAAGTGAAATGTAAAATTTATTGATTAATTTATTGGTTGACTGAGACAGTGTCTTGCTCTGTCTCCCAGGCTGGAGAGCATGGCACGATCTTAGCCCACTACAGCCTCAAACCTCCTGGACTGAGGCAATCCTCCCACCTCAGCTCCCGAGCGGCTGCAACTACAGGCACGCGCCACCACAGCCTGGCTAATTTTTTTTTTTTTGTAGAGATGGGATTTCGCCATGTTGTCCAGGCTGGTCTCGAACTCCTGAGCTCAAACGATCCACCCACCTTGGCCTCCCAAACTGCTGGGATTGCACGTGTGAGCCACCGTGCCCAGCCGAGATGTAACATTTAAAAACAAAACATTAATAATTGAATTCAAGGGTATATGAGAAGAATAAGATACCGTGTACAAATAGGGTTTATTCTAGGAATGCTCAACATTAGAATACTTTGTCTTCATAAACATAGTTAATAAAGCTCAACATTTCTGATATAAACATGCGGAAGCAGAAATCAGCTTCTTTAAATTATAAAGAACACTTACCAGAAACCAATATCAAAATTAAAGGTAAAAACAAGAGGCACTCTCATTAAAGTCAGCAACAAAACAAAGATAACAACTCTCACTGCCACCCGTCTACATTACTGTGGAGTTCTACCCAGTCTTATAAGACAAGGAAAAGAAAGATATAAGTGTTGGTGAGGAATACTATTAAGCTACAAAAGAATAAAAAACTCTTAGAACTAAGAGAGCTTAGAAAGATGGCCAAAGATAAATATGCAAAATTCACTATTTTTCCTACATCCCAGTAATAGTCAACTGGAAGGTTTAATGGGAGAAAATATCTCTAAAGGAAAAAACATCATTAAATATGTAGAAATACCATATTTAAACTAAATTAGATACGTGCAAGGCCTATATAAAGAAAATACTACTGAAAGACAAAGATGATCTAATTAAGAGATACACTATGCTTCCAGAACTAAGGATTAATGTCATAAAAATACATCAATTCCTTCTAATTTATCTATAAATTCATTGTAATTTCAACTAAAACAGTGAATATGAATATAGGAATAAAAAAATAGATCAATGAGTCAAAATGGAGAATCCATAAAGAGACTCAGGTATGTAAGGGGGTTTAGCATTTGATAAAGACAGAAAAATGATTCAGATTACTGAATAAATGCCATTAAAACAACTAACAATCCATTTTGTGCAAAAGTAGCTAGATCTTTACCCCTCATCATATAACCAAAAAATTTCCATATTCATAAAGCTCTAACATAAAAAACAAGAGTTCCATGAGCCACAAAGGAAAAGACTGACACATATAATAACATAAAGCTGAAAAAAACTTTTATATGGCTAAAGATACCTTAGATAAACTGAGAAAAACATTTGTATCATAATACAGAAAAAAGGTTAATTGCCCTAATAAAAAGAACTCTAAATCAATAAAAGACACAACCCAAAGAACATGAATCAAAGGAATAAAACTCACAAAAGAAACAAAATTAAACTCACCCTTGCTAATTAAAGAAATGCAAATTCAAACAATAAATGTTACTTAACTGACTGAGATTTCAAAAGTTGACATATCAAATTTTGGCAAGAGTGTGGAAAAAAGTTCTATGTCTCATATGTGTAACATTTTTGGAAGGCAATTTCGTTTGAAAAAAAATTTTGACCAGGCATGGTGGCTCACACTTGTAAACCCAGCACTTTGTGAGGCCAAGGCAGGCAGATCACTTGAGGGCAAGAGTTCAAGACCAACCTGGACAACATGGCAAAACCCTGTCTCTACTAAAAATACAAAAATTAGCCAGGTGTAGTGGTGTACCCCTGTAGTCCCAGCTACTCAGGAAGTTGAGGCAGGAGAATCGCTGAACTCAGGAGGCGGAGGTTGCAGTGAGCTGAGATCATGTCACTGCACTCCGGCCTGGGTGACGGAGTGAGGCTTTGACTCAAAAAAAAAATAATAATAATGACAAACATAAATAAAATATTTACATTCAAATTCTAAACTCTCTCTAACATAGCAATTCTATGACTAGGGCTTTCTTCCTAAAATAAAAAAAAAATCCTATAGATGAATAAACATACAAGTAAAAGAATGTTCTCTAATAGAGAACAGTATCTAATAGAAAAAAATAGAAAGTAACCTGAAATTGATTAAATAAAGAACATAGTCATACAACAAAATACCACATATACATACTACGGAAACACAGAAAGGTAGCCACAGTCATTTTTCTATCTAGTTAAAAATAAAAACCTGTTATAGATAGTATGCTATGATCTAATTTTCATAAATATAAATAAATATCAGCAAAGATAAACATTTCTCTATATTTAGATATGTCTACAATAACATCTGGGAAACAGGCTGCATACTAATCTACAAAGTCAGCTTAACAGGAAATGGGACTTGCGATGGGTGTGGAGGACTTTCTGTTTCTATCTGATGATAAAAGCTTGTATTTCTTTTACACTTAAAAAGATAAGAAAAGGAAAAAGGAAGGGAGGGAGAGATGGAGGGGATGGAGAGCTGGGAGATGGAAGGCAATCATGAAGAGTAAAACAAGAAGAGAAGCTACAATTTCAAAGGTGCCATTTGCACCCCCCACCTCCTACTTACCATCAACGTCCTAGCTACATTGCAACCCAAGGTGCCGGCTCCAAGCAGCAGACATTTGACAGACACAACCTTGTCCAAGTCTAAAGTAGGAACCAATCTCCAACACATCAGTTTGAGATTTAGATCCACTGATGACTCAGCTAACCTAGAAAAGGAGAGATTTACTTATTCAGTCTCTCATTTGTGCAATAATCTTGTTCTGAAAGATTTCAAGTGGCTATGTGAGAAAATAAGAAATAATAAGGAAATTGGGATCAAATGAAAAAGAAAATGAAGCTGGAGGGTAAGCAGGGAGGAGAAAGGTTACCCCCAGCAGCATGCTATTGGAGTCCTCTGCAATGAGGGGGCCACAAATCTGATACTGAGTTCCAGCAGCCAAGGTGAAAAGGGAAGAGCATGACTGGTTATAGGAATCATGGTGTCCACGAATAAGAACACACCATTTGATTAAGAGGAAAGTTTTTCCTAGTACTGAAAACAGAAATTTCTCTCATATCTCCTTAATAAAGAATGCACTCAGGCCAGGCAGTGGCTCACCCCTGTAATCTCAGCACTTTGGAAGGTCGAAGCGGGTGGATCACCTGAGGTCAAGAGTTCGAGACCAGCCTAGCCAACATGGTGAAACCCTGTCTCTACCAAAAATACAAAAATTAGCTGGGTGTGGTGGCAGGCACCTGTAATCCCAGCTACTCAGGAGGCTGAGGCAGGAGATTCGCTTGAACCCGGGAGGTGGAGGTTGCAGTGAGCCGAGATCATGCCATTGCACTCCAGCCTGGGCAACAGGAGCAAAACTGTCTCAAACAAACAAACAAACAAAAAGAGTGCACTCAGATTCGCCCTTAAATACAATAGTGGTTTCCATGAAATAATTCTTCTAATATCCTTCAAAGTGGGCCAATAAGGGCTGGGCGTGGTGGCTCATGCCTGTAATCCCAGCACTTTGGGAGGCCGAGGCAGGTGGATCACGAGGTCAGGAGTTCGAGACCAGCCTGGGCAACACAGTGAAACCCTGTCCCTATAAAATACAAAAAATTAGCTGGGTGTGGTGGCGTGTGCCTGTAATCCCAGCTACTCAGGAGGCTGAGGCAGGAGAATCGCTTGAACCCAGGAGGCGGAGCTTGCAGTGAGCAGAGATCGCACCCTTGTATTCCAGCCTGTGCAGAGCAAGACTCCGTCTGGGGCACAGGGAGAAGTGAGCCAATAGGACCAAGCCAGAGGACAATGCATAAAGGACTGAAAGACAGTACAGGTACACTGGTGGTCTGAGAGCATGAGCTTGAAAGAAGAACAAAATTTAAAATGTCTAGAACAGATGAACAGTCTGCCCTTCAGGAAATGCATTGTTAATATTAATTCTCACAACCCAACTTCAATTCAAGAGCAGGATAACACATGGCAGCATGACTGGCACCCCCTGGGCTGAATTACACAATGTTGTGTTGGCCTGACAGAACTTGGTGTGTGTCTTGGTTACAACAAGCCTGACTGGAGAAAACAGCTTCCCAAATCTACCTTTTAGGGTCCATACATTCACTGAGGTTCACCATCCTTGGTCCCATGCCTCCTTTCTGGTTCTTTTCCCATCCAACTGCTTTAGGACAATCTTAAGGCAAATAAAACACAAAGCTTAATGAAGGAGGGAAGAATAAAAACAAACAGATCAAGCAGCGACCTTGTATAAAAAGGATCGACATTCATAATGGCCCATGCATTGACAAGCTTTTGGTTTGCTTCTTTCTAAAAGAGACCTGAGGGCCTGAATTTCCATGGACTTGCTACAGTTGCCTCCCCATCTTTCTCAACTACTGGGAGTCTTGTTTAGGGACCATCAAACCCAAGCAATCTTCCTGTACAGGAGCTTCTGAAATAGTCCTCAACTCTGGCCCAAGGTGCCTCAACTTTCACTGTTACTGGAAGTTGCTGGGAAAAAAAAAAAAAAAAGACAGTCTTATCTGGGGTAGGTATAACCCCACTGAGGCTTCTATCTAAGCAAGCCAAGCCAATGTAACTGCAGCACACCTTCACTGAAGTTCCTATTGGGATCTGAATCTTTAAATTCAGTATGTACCTTCTGTTGCTCATCCTTACCATGTCCCCCTGCTCAGCCTTTCTGTCACTGCACCTGTGAGCAGATCATAGTCCAAGGTGACTGTCCTTTGATTAAGCTGCCCTTTCCTTTAAGCTCATCTTTATCCATTCAGAACTTTCCCTTCCCTGACTTCTCCCTTCCCCGCTGCCCTTTTAATCCCTGCTATGGGAGCCTCTGTAACTCCAATTAACTCCAATTCTAGCAGTTCCCAAAGTGTGTCCTATTCAATAATCTCAGAGGATAAGGATCCTGTAGCTAAACAGACTTGGGAAATGCTTCTATACTTATATCTATCTTCTATCTCCAGCCCCCCAATACCACTCAAACCTGGCCATTCACATGGCACATGAGGGAGATAAAAGCTCTGAGAAACCTGCAGTACAGAACCCACGTGATTTGATTTGGCTTTGTGTTTCCCGAACTTACATGGCTCTCGATATCTCCCTTCATTTCCCTGCATACCAATTACAATCTCAAAGGAAACATTGCTCTATTCTACTGTTGCAAAATTCTCTTAAACATCTCAATTGCTTTGTAGGACACGCCTGCGTCCTCATGTTAATGAAAGCTCTGCTTGCCTTGGTGGAACCACAGCCTTGTAAATCTTGCTAGTGGATCCACCCACCCTCTTGGGCTCCCTACATCTCAGGACCTATGCTGCTCCCCTTTTCTCATTGAATTCCTACTGCTCACAATAAAGCCTGAACTCCTAAGCAAGAAATTCACTCCGCCACAGCCTACACTTCCAGCATCACCTCCAGTCTGCCTTAAGCAACAGACTCTGCAGGAACAGAAACTCCTTGACTTGAAATTAAGATGTATGGGACTGGGAGGGGGAATTTTAATTTTGTTTCTAATTGTACGCTGGTTTTTTCTTTTCTTTTCTTTTCTTTTTTTTTTTTTTGAGACAGAGTCTTGCTCTGTTGCCCAGGCTGGAGTACAGTGGCACGATTTTGGCTCACTGCAAGCTCTGCCTTCTGGGTTCCCGCCATTCTCCTGCCTCAGCCTCCTGAGTAGCTGGGACTACAGGCGCCCGCCACCACACCCGGCTAATTTTTTGTATTTTTAGTAGAGATGGTGCTTCACCGTGTTAGCCAGGATGATCTCGATCTCCTGAGCTCGTGATTCACCTGCCTCAGCCTCCCAAAGTGCCGGGATTACAGGCGTGAGTTACCACACTTGGCCTGTACACTGGTTTTCTTTGTCCATTCTCCTACTTTTGAATTTCTATCAAGATTGCAATTTTCCTTTCCTTGAGAAACTTTTTAGCTTTTGACATTAAAAGAAAAAAAAAAAGTATTGCCCAATATAATTATGGGACATAGAAGGTACTGAGATTCCCTTTACACGATCTTTTGTTTCTGGGATAGGATGACCAATGAGAAACCATAGGGCCAATTATCCTTGAAAGCTACTTGGGCCCCAGTTTGGCTGGGGGTATCATTCACAGCAAGAAGCCAGAAAGCAAACGTCCTTCCCCATTTTAAATTGGGCACTCTAATGCGGTATTTTTTAATGCCATGAAAAATTAAAACTGAAAAAATAGAGTTTTCTTGTTTGAGACAGGGTCTTGCTATGTTGCTGAAGCTATTCTTTAACTCCTGGGCTCAAGTGATCCTCCAGCTTCAGCCTCTGGAGCAGCTTCGATTACAGGCATGGGCCACCACACCCAGTCAGATTTGAGTTTCATAAAGAGATTAAGACTTCAGAATTGTTTTTCTGTGGGGAAAAGAAACAGTTCTCACCTGCTACTAATTGATATTTTGTTTGATTTTATTACTATTCTTAGATTGAATTAAAAATGTGTCTCTCAACAGCAAACACATGGAATCAGTTTAAATGCCCATCAGTGACAGACTAGATAAAGAAAATGTGGTACACATACACCATGAAATACTATGCGGCCACAAAAAAGAATGAGATCATGTCTTTTGCAGGAACATGGATGGAGCTTGAGGTCATTATCCTTAGCAAACTAGTGCAGGAACAGAAAACCAAATATTGCATGTTCTTAGTTATAAGTAGGAGCTAAATGATGAGAACTCATGGACACAAAGGGGAACAACAGACACTGGGGCCTACTTGAGGGTGAAGGGTGGGAGAAGGGAGAGGATCAGAAAAAATACTAGGTACTAGGTATTAGTACCTGGGTGATCAAATAATTGGTACAACAAACCCCTGTGAAACAAGTTTACCTATATAACAAACCACATATACCCTGAACGGAAAATTCAAGTTTGTTTTTTTTTTTTTTAATGTGTCTCTAATACATAGCACAGGAACTTGACAAGAACTACAGAATCATAGCCTAGTACTGTCATCCATAACTCCAGCCTAGGTTTTCTCTAGTTACAGGTAAGAAATTATTAGACAAAAATAAAACATAATTTCAATTAAAAGCTCTCTATGCTCAAAAGGTAACAGATGCTGGGCTCATGTCTGTAGTCCCAGCTACTTGGGTGGCTAAGGCAGGAGGAAAGATTGCAGGAGGAAGGATTTGGCTCAGGAGTTCAAGGCCAGCCTGGGCAACATAAGAAGACCCTCATCTCTCAAAATAATAATAATAATAATAATAATAATAATAATAAAGGCTATAGCCATTTCTAAGAAAATCAGATGCTCCTTAAGCTTAATAATGAAAAAAATACCACATACGGCAATAGTATTTGATTTACCATACCTGCCTCCATATAATCTATACCGATAAGACATACACCAAATTAAATGATAAATATATGATACATATAAACATATATATAAACATATATATATATGTTTTTTGAGACAGAGTCTTGCTCTCCTGCCAGGCTGGAGTAAAGTGGCACTTATCTTGGCTCACTAAAACCTCTGCCTCCCGGGTTCAAGCAATTCTCCTGCCTCAGCCTCCTGAGTAACTGGGACTACAGGTGTGCGCCACCATGCCTAACTAATTTTTATATTTTTAGTAGAGAGACGGGGTTTCACCACGTTGGCCAGGATGGTCTCGATCTCTTGACCTCATGATCTGCCTGCCCTGGCCTCCCAAAATGCTGGGATTACAGGCATGAGCAACCGCGACTGGCCAAGAAAATATTTTTTAGGGAAAAATTAGGGACTGTCTCCCATAGTGGGCAAGCAGGAGGAGCACAGGAAAAACCAGAGTTAAGATGATGGAATCTCTACCCTCAGCAGTGTCTGCCATCTTCCTCCACCAGGTGCCAGAGCTGTAACACACCATGAGGAAGCAAAAGAAGACATAGGATATTTAAAATAATACTCCACGACTGCACAAGGTAGCTCACACCTGTAGTCCCAGCACTTTGGGTGGCTGAGGCTAGAGGATTGCTTGAGCCCAGGAGTTCAAGACCAGCCTGGGCAACCTAGTGAAACCCTGTCTCTGCAAAAAATACAAAAATTAGTCAGGTGTGGTGGCACATCGCTGTAGTCCCAGCTACTCAGAAGGCTAAGCTGGGGGGATGGTTTGAGCCTGGGAGGTCAAGGCTACAGTGAGCTATGATTTTGCCACTGCACTCCAGCCTGGGTGACAGGTCGAGACCCTGTCTCAAAAAATAAAATAAAATAAAATAATTTAAAATAATACTCCTTATACCATTACCATGGCAACTATGGGATGTCTTAAAAGTACTGAAAAGTACAACCATACTTATATTTTCAGTTTACATTATGATATAGAAAAATTCTTTATAAAGCTGTATTTACCATAAAGTTTTATTTACAGCTAAGAGGGAACATATTAATTTACATGAAAAACAGGAAATTCATTTGCCTTTCCTAAGCTAAATAATCTACATTAAATATCAGGCATAAAGAAGATATGTTAAAGGCATTATTGGATGTCAGAAAACCTTTTTCAGATGGAAATGTAAGGTGTGGTTTCTAGGTTTAAATGTCAGCATCAGCTGGGCACGGTGGCTCACGCCTGTAATCCTAGCACCTTGGGAGGCTGAGGCAGGCAAATTGCCTGAGCTCAGGAGTTCAAGACCAGCCTGGGTACACGGTGAAACCCCATCTCAACTAAACACAAAAAAACAGCCAGGTGTGGCAGTGTGCACCTGCAGTCCCAGCTACTCAGGAGGCTAAGGCAGGAGAATTGCTTGAACCCCGGAAGCAGAGGTTGCAGTGAGCTGAGATCCTGCCACTGCACTCCAGTCTAGGTGACAGAGCGAGACTCTGTCTCCAAAAAAAAAGTGACTGGGCATAGTGGCTCACTCCTGTAATCCCAGCACTTCGGGAGGCTGAGGCTGGCGGATCACGAGGTCAGGGGTTCGAGCCTGGCCAACAAGCGAACCTGCACTCAAGCCTCAAGTGGCAGGGCAAGACTCCATCTCAAAAAAAGATTAAAAAAAAAGTCAGCATCATCAAGCATGAGCGTTATCATAGAGAGTAGGATGTAAGAATAACTCAGTGACTTTGTCATAAAGTGTAAAGAAAACTGCCTCTCCACAGAGTGGTTGGCAGAATTAAGTGATTGCCTCATGGAAGGTGCCTGGCAGCTTGTCAGACACACAGACCAGACCCACATTACTTTTTAGTTAACTCTCACCTCATTCCCCAAGACCACGTTTATCCAACCCGCAGCCCAGGACGGCTTTGAATGTGACCCAACACAAATTCATAAACTTCCTTAAAACATTACGAGATTTTTTTGCTTTTTTTTTTTTTTTCTCATCAGCTATTGTTAGTGTTAGTGTATTTTATGTGTGGTCCAAGACAATTCTTCTTCCAGTGTGGCCAAGGGAAGCCAAAAGATTGGATACCCCTGCGACTATCTTTAAGTGTGGTTTAATAAAACAAGGTACAGCATGTAAATTAACATTACACAGGAGCTATTTTATAATTTGCCAGAAGAGGGTGCTACATCCAATGCAAATATCTAAAGTCAGCAGAACGGCAAAGGCTCTAAACTGAAAAGCAGCATCGTCCTTTGATCAAACGGAAGTACTCTGTCAATCTTTCAGAGAAGTCTGTAAAGACATCCATGTTAGAGCACAGAACTGCTGAAAAAATGTCATGTGGGCCAGTCCTGAATCCTTTTGACTTTAGCACTCTAGAAAAGATATCTCAGAAGAGATTTTTTTTTTTTTTTTGAGACAGGGTCTTGCTCTGTCACCCAGGCTAGAGTGCAGCAGCGCAATAGGCTCACTACACCTCCACCTCCCAAGTTCAAGTGATTCTCCCGCCTCAGCCTCCTGAGTAGCTGGGATTACAGATGCCCGCCACCACACCTCACTCATTTTCGTATTTTTAGTAGAGACAGGGTTTCACCTTGTTGGTCAGGCCAATCTCGAACTCCTGACCTCAGATGATCCACCTGCCTCAGCCTCCCAAAGTGCTGGGATTACAGGCATGACCCACCACACCCAGCCTTGAAAGAGATTTTGACACCACCTCCCCCATCACACACACACATTTTAAGGCATATCTATGGCATAAGGAAAGAAATGTGCCTTGGAACCATCAGGATGGTGTGAGGAACAACAAGTTAAATAATACATGTGAGGCCAGGCTTGGTGACTCACACCTATAATCCCAGCACTTTGGGAGGCCAAGGTGGGTGGATCACTTGAGGTCAGGAGTTCAAGACCGGTCTGACCAACATGGTGAAACCTGTCTCTACTAAAAATACAAAAATTAGCAGGGCGTGGTGGCGGGCTCCTGTAATCCCAGCTTCTTGGGAGGTCAAGGCGGGAGAATCACTTGAACCTGGGAAGTGGAGGCTGCAGTGAGTCAAGATCATGCCACTGCACTCCAGCCTGGGTGACAAAGCTAGACTCTGCCTCAAAAATAATAATAATAATATATGTTGTGAAAGTGCTCTCAAAAGCATACAAATCAAATCAGGAATTATTCTGGCAAGAAGTATAAAAGTGCGGGGCTTTATGTGAGCTAGGAAATTTACATAACATTTATAAAGCACCTACGATGTGCCAGACATTGTACTCTGACTTTGACACAGGACATGGATTCCTGATAAGAAGTATTTCTGGAGCTGGGCATTATATCCTTATTTTACTCAAACTTGAGTATGTATTCCATCTCTGTGACATACGTAAAAATATATATATGTGTATATATACACACACACATATATCTCTCTATAGATAAAATGTCTCTCAGTCTAAGTTTCTGAATTTAGAAAATGGGGATAAAAGCTGATAGTTGTCAAATAAGGATCAAATGAAGATATTAAATGTGGAAGGAGAAATGGCATTTTTGCTGACTGGTTTGCTATATGGAGAATAGGATCACATACAACTTTAAAGTATAGAACAAATAAATATTTAAGTGCATTAATACTTCATCCTTCCTTTAAGAATGGACAGGAATAAAGATTTTGTGTTAAACAAAAGTAAAATTGAAAACAGGGGGAAAGAGGGGAACAAATCCTGAAGACTGAAAAAACTGCCTAGAGAAAATTTCCTGGTCACAATCTTTGCCTTTGTTCCAGTCTGAATAGCAGAGCGTGCCCTCTGTTCGAAGTAGGTGTCTGCATTGGCAAAGAGGTACAAGTTGTACTTTTCTCTTCCTTTCTTGTGCCATTGTGAAGGGATGAAAAGAAAGTAAACCTGGTTCCGTTTCTGATAAATGATAATTATATGCATTTTCAAAGACCGGCAAATTACCTGGGCTAAATGCCATTTCTGGAAGCTTCACTTCGAAGATGATGCTGTGGGCAACGTCTCGCGCCCCCTGCATGGTACGGTCACGGAAGCAAAGAACTTCAACAGACTGGAAACTGCTACTCCTGTTGTCATGCCCGGATTTTTATTTATTTATTATTTTTTTTAAAGGAAGGAAAAGAAAAAGCTCACATAAGAGCTTCAGCAAACCAGTTGGAGAGAATTCAATGCATTGTAATTATGCCTCTCTGATACCCACAGGAGATGGCCTTAACTCTTTTGAACATATTCATATACGGTTCCTCTGTCCAAGTGTTTAGAGGCTAAACAATGAATTAGTTGTGATTTCTTTCTAGGTGAATTTTATATTACAGTCATATTGCACATAAATAATTCTGACAAATAAATCTTTTAAATGCAAGGAAAAAATGCTCACAAGACATTTAGAAAAAAAACTCTTTAACTCATGGGTTCTTTTGGTTCCCTCCGCTCTCCCCATATGAACTTCCATATTAAGCAGTAGCACCTCAGTCAGTAGTTAGGAAGCCCATTTGCACTGTGTAGACTTACCACCTGGATAATTGTGGATTGTCTCTCTCACAGCACAATCTATAATTTATCTATCTTCATTTTTTAAATAAACATTTTTATTTAAGTAAAGCAGACACATTACACAAATCCCAAGTATAAAGAAGGCTGTCTCATGCCTTCTCTCAGTCATTAACCACTGCCTTCAAAAGTAACAACTACTCTAAGTCCATATATTGGTTTTGCCTATTTTAACTTTACATAAATGGAATCATAGAGTACGTATTATTTTAGGTCCAACTTATTTCACTTAATACTATGTTTTTAAAATTCATTCATGTTGATTTCTGTATTAATAGTTCACTCAGATTCATTGTAATACAGCATTTCATCGTAAGGGATATACTAAAATTTATTATTCATTTCACTATTGAAGAACATGTGGACTATTCCCAGTTTTTAGTTATTGAGCATAATGCTTCTGTAAACATTCTTGTATATGTGTTTTGCTTCTATCTATGTATGTATTTCAGTGAGTAATATACTTGAGAGTAACATTGCTGAGCCATAGATATTTTTAATTTTGGTAGATATTGCCCAACATTTTTCCAGCCGTATTTGCTCCACATCTTCGACAACACTTGGTATGGACGTTTTTGTTAAATACTTTTGGTGGATATGTAGTAGCATCTCATTATGGTTTTAATTTTTATTTCCTTAATGACATGATGTTGGGCATCTTTTCAAATATATATTGGCTTTTAAGATATCCTCTGTTTTAATTGTTTTAGGGTTAAGAAAAAATGGAGAATGACAGCAGTAGGAAAATCCTATCTGAAAGAAACCCAAACAGCTAGAAGGGAGGGCTACAGAATTTGTGTCAGGACCTCTGGCTACCAACTCTACCATATGCTAAAACATCTTTAGCACAGAATGATTAGAGTATGCAGGTCCCTAACAGACCTGCTTAAGGTTCACTAGTATGGAAATTGGGTTATGACTGATTTATCGATTACCTGATTTCCATGCCCAAAATGGGGAGGAAAAAAAAAAAAAAAAAAGCATTTAGGAAAACAGAGATACAAATAGAAACAGACACATTGTAAAACACATACTGACAAAGGCAGACAGACAGACAAACACACACTCTTGTAAATACCATCTGTGGGCTGCTAGGACCAAAAAATTCCTCAAAGGCCATCCAGGGTACTGGGCTAAGTTACAGGGATCATATACACCAATTGTTATCTGTGAACAAAAAAGACTTTCTGAGTGAGTCAAGTATCATCTCAGCTTCACAATACAGATGTTGCTCATACTTCCTCTTTGTTTTTTTTATGCTTTCGGCAAAGCCTTAAAAATTAGACACCTGGTAAAGGGCTAAGGGGAGGAGAAGAAAGCCACAGGATCTCACACTGGACTACAGAACTTCTTGATGGCAGGGGTTATCAAATTCTTGTCTGCATCCCTGTGCCTTGCATTGGGCCTGGCAGAAAGTAGGAGCTAAATAGATTTAGAAGGAAAAAAGACTAGAAGGAAGATGGGGAATGAAGGAGGACAGTCAAGAGGGCTTGTAGAGAAAATCCTCTTGTAAACAAAGAAATATAATCTGTGAAACTGACTCATTTTTATGCAATGAGAAAATCAAAGAAGGGCCACTACTAATGTAAGTCTACAATCAGATCAAGTTAAACAGCCAGTTACCCTTGATTTTGCTAACATATATTTCCTCCCTTCCCTTTCCCATCCCACTCCAATCCTGATCTTCATCTGGAAAACTCTACTCAATTTAAAATTCCATTTCTTCAGTGAAGTCTTCTCCTGGCAGAAGTAGTTGACCTGTCCTTGCTGCTTCCATAGCTCTTTGAACCTTGTATATAACATTTTTCATTTTTCTGTCTCCTTCCTTTCAAAGACAATGAGCATCCAGCACCCAGATACTGACTTCTAAATACCATTCTCCAAGAAAAGAAATCAGGGCTCCTTGGACACATTGTTAATTCTAGGGCTCAGGCAGGGAAAATACAAGACAAGCTTGAAGCATCCTATAATACCAGGAAAGGAGGTGCTCAAAAAACAAATGAATTGGGGCATGCCAAGGGGAAACAGGCATCAACTGAAAGAGTTCTCAAAGGCCAAGGCTGGCACAATTTGTACAACAATATAAATAATATGATGTTGAATTATAACCCAAAGTATAAAATAAGTATCTATGAGTCCACATTGATATAAATAAAGAATGGAATAAATGTGAAGGGACAAGTCTTCCTTAAAGAAAATTTTCAAACAATATATGCAAATCTGCCCTCTTCAGAAGCAAAATTTAACCCTTCCCCTCCTTAAAGGTAGCTGGAATTAGTGATTTACTTCCAAAGAAAAAAACAGTAACTTTACAGTGGAGAAACCTGGCAAATATTACCTTAACCAAGTAATCAATTTAACATTACCAAGGATGTCACGTGGATATCAGGTGATAACGGTACTTCACTCTGGTATTCTTTCCAAAAACCCGTAATAACCCCAGTCTAATCACAAGAAAACATCAGACAAACGCAAACTAAGGGACATTCTATAAAAATAACTAATCAGTACTCCTCAAAAATGTCAAGGTCATCAAAAAAATCAAAGAAAGCCTGAGAAACAATTACAGATCACAGGAAACTAAGGAGGAGACATGACAACGAATTGCAATGTGGTATCCTGGACTGGATCCTAAACAGAAAGAGGGTATTATAGGAAAAAACTGGTGAAACTGGAAATGTCTAGAGTTGAGTTAATTGTAATGTAAAAATTCTGGCTTCTTAGTTTTGACTAATGAAACGTGGTGATATAATGTGACAACATTAGAGAAAACTGAAACCGGGTGAAGGTATATGGTAATTCTCTGTACTGTCTTTGCCACTATCTTCTGTAAATCTAAAATTATCCCAAAATAAAGCTTATTTTTTTTTAAAAAAAGGAAGACAAAGAGCATCTGGAGAGCAGAGAGTATCTTTTTCATCTCTCCACGATCAGTTCATAAATACAGAGCAGACACTCGGTGACTGTTTTTGAATAACAAAGTAGACGGATGGATAAATGGGTGGAAGAAAGGAAGGAAGGATGTAGAGTGAGTAGGGGTGAGGGAGAGAAATTGCTGGCAGAGAACCATAAATTGACCCATAGGTTTCCTTCATAAGCATAGCATGGGTTAAATGAAAACACGGCTGACACGTTTTTGTTAAATCTAGATCCAGTTAGTTCTGTAAGGATGAAATCACCCTAAACACTCCCTTTTATTTCCCACAATGCTTGGTATAGTATCAGCCACAAAGTAGGAGCTTAACTAATATTCAGAAGAATATCTATAACCCCACTATCCTGAGAGAACTATTAACATCTTGGTATATAATTGCCCATAACCTTATTCTTTGCATAAATATATTTTAATTACTAGGACTTTGAAACAAACATGGGATGATGCTGTAAATACTGTCTTTGTTGTTGTTGTTTTGAGACAGAGTCTCACTCTATACCCAGGCTGGAGTGCAGTGGCATGATCTCGGCTCACTGCAACCTCCACCTCAAGGGATTCAAGCAGTTCTAGTGCCTCAGCCTCTCTAGTTCCTGGGACAACAGACAGGCGTGTGCTACCATGCCCTGCTAATTTTTTGTATTTTTTCAGTAGAGATAGGGTTACACCATGTTGGCCAGGTTGGTCTCGAACTCCTGGTCTCAAGTGATCCACTGGCTTTATCCTCCCAAAGTGCTGGGATTGCAGGCATGAGTCACTGCGCCTGGCCTAAATATTGTTTTATATCTCTTATTGTATTATGAGCTGTCTTCCATGCCAGTAAATGTTCTACAACCATTGTGAGTCATGGCTGAATGGCATTCCATTGTATTGATGTACCAAACTTTTTCTATTTCCTTTTGAAGGACAATTAAGTAGTCTTAATCTGCTCAATCTCTGAAAATGAATTTTACTATGGTCTTATCAGATAATTACTGTATTATTTCAAAGACACTCTTTAAAATATTTGCTACCTTTTCTGTTATATACAATTTTCTTATTCCTAAAATTGAAGCGTTTTTTTGTCTAAATGCATGTTCATTTCTTAAACGCAAATAGACAGATTCATATTTAATTTAATACAAATATGTTCATAGCTATGCTCATCCTTTCAGGAAATACCTTTATTTGAGATTTCCTTTTCCACAGAGATAAGGTTTCAGCATCTAAGGTTTACAGCATCTAGTAAAAATAGAGCTTACTACACTGAGTAGTCTCTTACTAAATGAGACCTAGGGAAAAGTACTCAATCCTCCAAGCCACAGTTTAATCATGGAGGAAATAATATATTACTTATTTCATAGAGCTGTAGTGAGGATTAAATGAGCTGATACTAAATATGAAAAGTCCAGCACATACATAGTGCTACTAATATCATTATTGGTGATAGACTCAGAATCTCCAGTGGTGAGCCCAGCAATCTGTATCTTTATCTGTACCAGGCTCCTGAATTATTCTGATGCGGCTGGTCCACTCCATGCACTCCAATTTGGGGCATATTAGAGAGGGTGCTCTTATAGGCAAAAGAAAACATCTCTGAACTGTCATTATCTTGAAAACTCTGAACTGGCTCTACATCTTCCCATGCTCCTCAAAATGTGGTCCATGCCCCAGCAGCATGCATGCATCAGCCTTCCCTGGGAGCCTTCAGAAAAGCAGAATCCCAAGTCTCCACCCCAGACCTGCTGAATCAGAGTTTGCATTTTAATAAGAACCCAGGTGATTAATACACCCAGGGAAGTTTCAGAAGCACTGTTCTTCCTCAACCTTCTAATAGCCATGGGTCTCACACTTGAAGATTCTTGGGTATCACCTGCGGAGCTATCAAAAATACTGCTGCCTGTGTCCCACCTCCAGAGGTTCTGGTTTAATTGATCTGGAGTTTGGCTTGAGTATTGGTTATTTGAAAAGATCCTCAGGTGATTCTAATGTGCAGGTTACAAACTTCTTGATTGTCTGCAGCAGTTTCTCAAAGTACAGTCCGGCACAGACCACCTGCATCAGAATTGCCTAGAAGCTTGATGAACTTGCACAACACCCTACCCACACACATACACACACTCAATCTGATCCCAGACCTTTCTAGGTACCACCAATACCTGCATGTCCAGTGACTACTGCATGTGATTCTTGTGTACACTATCATCTTAGCACTAGCTGTCTAGAGTCAAAAGAAGAAAATGAGTATTTGCTTAAAAGAGGGTTCACTGCATAAATATACACAATTGTAAGAAATTCCTGACTTTAGAAAAATTAAAATATGGAGAAACAAGCATTTTAGAATAAAGAAAACACAGGATGCATTTTATGTTTGATGTCTTGCTGGTTTAGAACTCTCTGTGAAGGCAGGAGCAGTGTATTCATCTTTCCATTTCTAGTTACCTAAGCACAATGCCTGATAGTCAGCAAGTATCTATTGAATAGATGACAGACTAGTAAATTTCTCCAGGCTTGAATACATGGACTCCCCCTCTGCAAAGATCTTGAGCAGGGATCCTGGGAGGCAGCTAGAGGGGGAAAAGTGATGCCTGAGTGACACAGACCTGAAGCTTCTATACAAAACCGTGATGCAGCATCTCAGCAAGTTCCTTTTCCTTCCTTCTTTCCTCTCTCAACAATACAGGGTCTCATGGCATTTTAACCCTGGGATTCTCCTAGGTGAGAATGTGAAAGTAAGATGAAAAAAAAAAAGAGGGCTTCCAATGAGAAGCGAGAGAACTCTGAGAACAAGATTTCCAGTCTAGGGCTTCCACCAAATTAAGAAGTTGTCTTCCTTGAGCTCTTCTGGTTCCTGTGGCCACCCCATTTGCTACTCTTCCATCAGGGACATCTTTTTATTTTGTTCCCCTCGGCCAATTACGACAGATAGCGTCTGCCAGACAAGCTACATTTATTTAGCAATCATCGCATCAATTTCACATTGCTTTTATTCATAAAAAGCATTTACAACTCTAGGACAGGCGCAGTGGCTCACACCTGTAATCCCAGCACTTTGGGAGGCCAAGGCGGGCAGATCACGAGGTCAGGAGATCGAGACCATCCTGGCTAACACGGTAAAATCCTGTCTAGTAAAATACAAAAAAATTAGTTGGGCATGGTGGCGGGCGCCTGTAGTCCCAGCTACTTGGGAGGCTGAGGTAGGAGAATGGCGTGAACCTGGGAGACGGAGGTTGCAGTTAGCCAAGATCTCGCCACT